AAAAAGGGTTGGTGCAGACTCAATGGTCCAAATGGCCTTTTTCCACACTGTAGGGAATCTATGACTTTAAATGTTGGCTGGATTGAAGGCTGATAAATCTTCTCAACAAGATGACCTTTTTCTTAGGATGTTGAAGGAAGAGGGAAGAGAGAGATAGTGGGGTATGTTGGTAGTTATCTTTCAGAATTCTATAGATTCTGGAAAGGTTCTTGGTAACTGGAAGGAAGCAAATTTAACTGCACAATTTAAGAAGAGAGTGAATGAAGAACTAGAGACTCGTTAGTTTGACATGGAGAGTAGGAAAATGTTAGAACCTAATTTTAATGTGTATTGACATTTATAAATGAATGCCAAAACTGTGCAGTCAATGTGGATTTATGAAAAGAAAATCATATTTGGCAAACTTATTGGCATTTTGTGAGGATGTCACTGATGTGATTTTTGCCTCCAGCAGAGTATTTTACCCGATGTGGCAACATTTGTTATCTCTCATAAGAAACTAGACACAGATTGTGCAGAGGTGGCAACGGAACAGCAATAAGCAAAATGGGTGGCTCAGTGGTTAGCACTGCTGCCTCACAGTGCCAAGGACCCAGGTTTGATTCCACCCTCAGGCGACTGTCTGTGTGGAGTGTGCACAGTCTCCCCGTGTCTGTGTGCATTTCCTCCGGATGCTCTGGTTTCCTCCCATGGTCTAAAGGTGGATTGGCTATGCTAAATTGCCTATATGTCTCGGGATATGTAAGTTAGGTGGATTAGCCATGGAAAATGTAAGGGGTGGGTCTGGGAGGGATGCTCTTTGGAGGGTTGGTGTGGACTCAATGGGCTGAATGGCCTGCTTCCACACTGTAGGGATTCTATGATAAGCTTGAAATCATCCATTAAATCCTAGTTATTCCATGGTGAGATGTAATAGGAGATCCTTGTACCCCCATGTTATGGTAGAGTGACAAAATCATGAGCATCTCTTAAAGGAGTACTGACATACTGTGAAACATTAATAAAATTCTCCCATTTTCAAAAGATAAAATCTTATCCCAAACAGATGTAATGGTTGTATGTATGCACTCATTAACAATTTAATAACTAAAACAAACAGGTAAAGCAGAGTTTACAAGAAAAGTGCTTCAAACTTCAGTATAACACTTTGCCTGCATTGTCAAACCTTCAATGACCATCTCCAAAAGGAGAGAATCTAACCATCAAACTCTTTATGCTTAATACCATGGGGGTAGCATTGATCAGACATTGAGCTGTAAGAGCCACAAATTCAGTGGCTATAAGAGCACGTCAGAGGTGAGGAATCTTGCAGCAAGTAACTCAGGTCCTGACTCCTCAAAGCCCGTCTACCTTCTACAAGACACAAGTCAGGAGTGTGTGGAATACTCCACACTTGCCTGAATAAGTGCAGGCCCAACAACACTCAAGAAGCTGACACCATCCAGGACAAAGCAGTCCAATTGATCGGAACTGCATTCACAAACATTTTGAAAAGGAACTCTGAGGAACAGTCATACTGGACCTGTTTCTGTCTCCACAGAAGCTGACAAACGTACTGAGTTTCTCTAGCATTGTGTGTTTGTACCACAGACATCCACTGCCTCTACCACCGATACTCAGTAGCAGCAGTGTACCATTTACAAGTTGTTCTGCAGAAATCCATGGGACCACCACCACCCGCAAATTCCATTCCATTCCAAGTCTCTTACCATCCTGACTTTGAAATATATTGCCGTTCCTACAATTTCGCTGGATCAAAATCCAGGAATTCTCTCCCTAATGGCATTGTGGATAGATCCACATTATTGGATTGCAGTGATTCAGAACAGCTCATTACCAAGGTTAACTAGGAATGGGCAATCAATGCTGGACCAGCCCAGCAATGCCCACATCCCATGAGTGAATGAAATAAAATTCTGTAGACTTACTCCTCAACCTCCTTCACACTATTCTGCTGTCTATGGATTACACCCAGTATTTACCTTCAATCCCACATCATCTCCCTTTCCATTACAAAATCTTTAAATAACAGTACCACAAACTCCTCCTTCCCTTCAATATTATGTACTCGGAAGTTGAGGCTCCCATCCCTGCTCTACTTCAAGGTCTCCATTATTGCTGCTGCAATCCTGTACAATGACTTATACCTGCAGTTTTCTTGCCTCAATGCATTTTCTCTCTCTCTCTTTCTCTCTCTCACACACACACACACACACACATACACACACAAACTTAAACATATGTTAATCTGCTTTGCATTTCCCCCCGTCTGATCTTTTTTTTTAACTGTGTGTACCTTGTTTCTTCTCTTATTGCCCATTTTCCCCCCTCCCTTGCAGCATAAACTAACATTCCAGCAAGAACATGGCTTTCAGTTCTCCCTCACGAAGGTAGGTGAGGACCTGGAAACAATCATTATTACGGAAGAGGTGGGCAAGCTAATGGAACTAAGGATTGATAAGTCTCCTGGCCCTGATGGAATGCATCCCAGCGTACTAAAAGAGATGGCGGGAGAAATAGCAGGTGCACTGGCAGTAATTTTCCAAAATTCGCTGGACTCTGGGGCAGTCCCAGCAGATTGGAAAACAGCAAATGTGACGCCACTGTTTAAAAAGGGAAGTAGACAAAAGATGGGGAACTATAGACCGGTTAGCTTAACCTCTGTAGTGGGGAAGATGCTTGAGTCTATTATCAAGGAAGAAATAGCAAGGCATCTTGATAGAAATTGTCCCGTTGGGCAGACGCAGCATGGGTTCATGAAGGGCAGGTCATGCTTGACAAATCTTTTGGAATTCTATGAAGACATTATGAGCAAGGTGGACAATGGGGACCCAGTGGATGTGGTGTACCTAGATTTCCAAAAGGCCTTCAACAAGGTGCCACACAACAGGCTAATGCCTAAGATAAGGATGCATGGCATTAAGGGCAAAGTATTAGCATGGATAGAGGATTGGTTGACTAACAGGAAGCAAAGAGTGGGGATAAATGAGTGCTATTCTAGCTGGCAGTCAGTGACTAGTTGTGTCCCTCAGGGAACGGTGTTGGGACCGCAATTATTTACAATTTATGTAGCTGATTTGGAGTTGGGGACCACGTGTAGGGTGTCAAAGTTTGCAGATGACACTAAGATGAGTGGCAGAGCAAAGTGTGCAGAGGACTGTGAAACTTTGCAGAACATAGATACATTGAGTGAGTGGGCAAAGGTCTGGCAGATGGAATACAATGTAAATAAATGTGAAGTCATACATTTTGGTAGGAGTAATAGTAAAAAGGATTATTACTTGAATGGTAAAAAGTTGCAGCATGCTGCTATGCAGAGGGACCTGGGTGTCCTTGTGCATGAATCACAGAAGGTAGGTCTGCAGGTACAACAAGTAATTAGGAAGGCAAATGGAATTTTGTCCTTCATTGCTAAAGGGATTGAAATTAAAAGCAGAGAGGTTATGTTGCAGCTGTACAAGGTGCTGGTGAGGCCACACCTGGAGTACTGTGCGCAGTTTTGGTCTCCTTACTTGAGAAAGGATGTACTGGCACTGGAGGGGGTGCAAAGGAGGTTCACTAGGTTGATTCCGGAGTTGAGGGGGTTGGCTTATGAAGAGAGACTGAGTAGATTGGGATTATATTCATTGGAATTCGGAAGATTGAGGGGGGATCTTATAGAAACATATAAAATTATGAAGGGAATAGATAAGATAGAAGTAGAGAGGATGTTTCCACTGGCAGGTGAAGCTAGGACAAGAGAGCATAGCCTCAAGATTAGAGGGAGCAGATTTAGGACTGAATTGAGAAGGAATTTCTTCACCCAGAGGGTTGTTAATCTATGGAATTCCTCGCCCAGTGAAGTAGTTGACACTACTTCAGTAAACATTTTTAAAAAAAAGGTAGATTTTTTTTGAACAATAAAGGAATTAAGGGATACGGTGAGAATGCGGGTAAGTGGATCTGAGTCCACGAAAGGATCAGCCATGATCTTATTGAATGGCGGAGCAGGCTCGAAGGGCCAGACGGCCTACTCCTGCTCCTAGTTCTTATGTTCTTCACCTTGAGCACTGAAATGGTGCCCATATCTCAGGATTCAAAATCTTACCTCTTGCACCATTTCATCAACTATACATCAACCTTCCGGTATTCAGTGTGACTGTGGGGTACTGACACTGAGTAGTACTTTGAGATTCTGCTTCATTGAAACTCCGGTAACCCTGCCTGCCAGATCTCAAACATTTCCATGCATATGCTAAAGAGGAAGACTATTTCTGGTTGGTCCCCTTTCCTCTGGCAGAACATCCTGCACCCTTTCAGTGATGCTGTTTACCCTGGATCAGGGAGGCAAGATACCATGTGGCACTCTTGACCCGAGAATGCACTTTTGCCACTTTACTGGGCTCCATGGCACAGTAGTTTGACTGTGTATTGCGGATGTACTTTAGATTGCTCTCCCCTAAATGTTGCAACCCTCCCTGGTACTCCGCTTGTTTGAAAGAGCCACATTCCTTCCTGGAAAATTCTTGCAACTGACTGCTTGTAGCCATTCAGTTCCCATCCCCGAATCCTCTGTAGCTGCAGGGTCATCATATTCTGGAAGACACAATCCATGGAATATTTCAATTGTAGTGACTGCACTTGCTCAAGTACCCGGGTGTTCGAACTTCAAGAAGCAGCATTGTATACCATATATAACTGCAGTCACTTGGGAAGCCTCTTTCAACAGCGCCTACCTCAACCTCCTGGAAGGGCGTGGGCAATAGGTACATGGAAACACCACCACCTGCAAGTTCCCCTCCAAGTCACCCACCTCCAAACACGGGAGTATAGCACTGCTCCTCACCGTTGCCAGTCAAAAACCTGGAACTCACTGCCCAACAGCACAGTGGGTGCCCCTAAACCCCAAAGAGCACAGTGACTTAAAGCTACAGCTCATCACTACCTTCTCATGAGAACAAGTTCTGGCATTGCTCATGACACCCACTTCTCAAGCACAAATTAGGAAGCCAGAGCTTACATGTAATTATTGGATCTTTAATAATTAATATTTAATTTGTACAATCATTGCGATATGGATACCACATAGCAAATCACATTTAGTCCTTTTTAATCCAAACATATTTGTGTATAATTCATTCTGTAAGACAAAATTAAAACAAACAGACACATGCCGAACTCAAAGGAGACACATCTGTCTTAATACTCCAGGAACACGGTGGAATGAGTCCAGCAAGACGATCTGAGTCGGTGTGAAACCTTCTGCAAATAGCAAGGTTGATCTACTTTGTTCACATATTGAATTGTTCGAAGAGGTGGTGACTTCTCCACAAACAGGTCAACTCCACCATTCCCACCATCAAGTCCAGGAAACAGGACACTAACAAAAAGATACTGGCCTGTGCTTGATGGCAGGCGGTGACTTGTTGTGGGCCTTGTATCGAGCCGCAAACTTAGTGAGATGGTGCAGATCGGAATTTTAATTCCAAGGATTCCGCTATGACCTGCGCCATTCTCCAAATCAAGCAAAATAGTCAGAAATCCTGCTTCAGGATTAGGAACCATGTCCATCAAATATTGATATTTCACAGTCACTAAGTTATCAGAATTATTGATTACCTAGATCAGAACAATTTCTAAAAAGTCATACATTGCCACGTTAAAAATAGATAAACTTTCTTTCATAACGCAGGACTCTATGATGTACAGGATGTCAGAGCATGTTAACAGCTAAGAAAAACGTGAGGAAGGTTCAAAATTCAGTCAAGAGTTGAAATAGGTACAATGTCCTCTTCACATTACTCCTTCTGTTACTGTGGTGATGCTTCCCATCCTAGAAACACCAACTGTGACGTGTACTGACAAAATAATTCATTACTCACCAATCAGAACAACAATTTCAACCAGAGATAGAGGGAGTTCCAACTGATTCACAATTCTATGGGAACATTCCACAGAATGGTCCCAGGAATGAAATACTTAATATATGAGGAACATTTGAGGACTCTGGGTCTATACTTGATAGAGTTGAGAAGGAAAAGGGGGCATCTAATTGAAACTTACAGAATACTGAATGGCCTGGACAGAATGGATGTTGTGAAGATGTTTCCATTAGGAGGAGGGACTAGGACCCAAAGGCACGGCCATAGAGTAAAGGGAAGCCCTTTTAGATCGGAGAGGAGGATAAGAGGCATCCCTTTCCAAGACAGGGATGAGAGGATTATTTTGGTCTGAGTGCTATTAGAGTATGGGGTTCCCAGGAGGCAGTAGGGCTGGGTATTTTAATTTATTCAACGACCAAGTTAGATAGGTTTGATAGACAAGAGAGTGAAGGGTTACGGGATAGACAGAGGAAGTAGAGCTGGGCCAGTCTCCAGATCACAGATAGTCCTATCAAACAGGTTTGAAGGTCTCAACATGTTCTGAAGATCTATATTCCTAGCACAGAGAGAGCGAGAGAGAGAGATTATGTTGGTTACAGGCTAAATATTTACTAAATAAGGGCCTGCTAAAGTCATAGGAAAAATGGATTAAAATCTAATTTGCAGTAGTGTGATTGTCAAGTTTCACGCTGTTGGGAAGAAAGTAAATGTTTGTGTATGTGAGCAGAGTTGTGAAGGTATCAGAGGCCAAGACAATGAATAAAATATATTTGTTAAGGATTGGTAAAGCTGAGGTGCGCAGAATTTCTCCAAACTTGTGGCCAATCCAGGAAAGGAGGAGTAAATCAGGGATAAAGTAGGAGATGCACATCCCGGTATTGGAGTGCGCAATCCATTTCGGCTTCTTCTCTCCCAATGCAGTCTGCCCATTTCTCCCCCAACCCAACCATCCCAGTAATTATTAATGGCAAATACAAGAGAGAACCATTGTCTCCCAATTCTGTAGGAAAATCTCTGGGAGCAAGATGGCATCCATTTGGGTCATGTGACTTTAACAGGGTGGCATCACCATTCCACGACACGCTAACCAATGGCCCAACTGGAAGATACTTGATCCAGTCAGTGATTCCAATTGGGAAGTGGGGTGATTGATGGTAAAATGGAACATTTGCCAGACCCTGAGAGACTGAAGAAGGGGTAGATCATCCCCTGAAAGCTGCAAGTGAAGCTGTGGAGGTGTGAGTAGGCAGCGCCATCGCAGAACAGAACCTGTCCAGCGTTGTAGTTGACATATATTCCAATTCTCTGGAGTTTCTCCTTGCACATGATTTCCAAAGGGCTGGTGATGTTGGCCCAGTATTTCTGCCCATCGTGCCGAATAGTCCAGTATCCGTTTTCAGGGATCAAAGGTAGATTTCCTTCCCTGCATACCAACTCCCTGGCTACTCCCAGGTCCCAGACGGAGTGCATGTCCACTTCCACCAGCCAGTAGTGCCTGCCGCTGGTGAATCCGGTCTTTCCCGGCACGACCAACCTGTGCTCGACCCTCTCGCTGCTGTCAGCACGAAAATTCCCTTGTGCAATGCAGTTCATGGTGGTCAGATCGGAGGATATCAGGAGGTTTGGATGCGTAGTGTCACAGTCCAGTTCAATGCAGGCTATAAAAAAAAGAGCAAGGGACAGGTTCAGCAGAAGCTCAAAGAAAAACTTCTCAATTTCTGCAGCCTCTTGGACCCAGCAATAACTTTAGAGCCTGATTCTGTCCTTCCATGTTTTTCACCAACCCCTCACCAGGTCCTGTTATGACATGGGTTGCTATTAGCACAGTCACCCATTCTCTCCTACTTTTTGCTCTTATTATCACTTATTCAGCTTTTCTTCTGTCCTGACCTGCTATCCTTAATCTCCTTGTTAATCCACTCGATAGGCTGTGGCTCCTAATTTTTTTTTTATTTCATTCACAGGGTGTGGGCATCACTGGCTAGGCCATCCCTAATTTACCCTGACAGTCATCCACAGCAGTGAGTCTGGAGTCACATGTAGGCCAGACCAGATGAGGACAGCAGTTACTTTTCCTGTAAGGACATTAGTGATCCAGAGAGGGGAGAAGAACCAGGGTCTATAAACATAAGACGGTTACCAATGGGGAATTCATGTGAAACTGCTCTCCTTAGCAGGTTCCCCATTCTAGAACAGAACATAGAAAAAAGAACAGTACAGCACAGCACAGTACAGGCCCTTCGGCCTACCATGCTGTGCCAAATTATTATCCAACTAAGATCAAATTACCCTGCATACTATCATTATGCATACACATACATATTATACTATCATCCATGTGCCTATCTAAGAGTCACTTAAATGTCTCTAAAGTATCTGACTCCACTACCACTGCCAGCAGCGCATTCCACACATCCACCACTCCTGTGTAAAGAACCTACCTCTGACATTTCCCCTATACCTTCCTCCAATCACCTTAATATTATGCCCCCTCATAATAGTCATTTCCGCCCTGGGAAAATGTCTCTGGCTATCCACTCTATCTATGCCTCTCATCATCTTGTACACCTCTATCAAGTCACCTCTCATCCTTCTTCACTCCAATGAAAGAAGCCCTAGCTCCCTCAATCTTTCCTCATAACACCTGCCCTCCAGTCCAGGTAGCATCCTGGTAAATCTCCTCTGCACCCTCTCTAAAGTTTCCACATCTTTCCTCTCATGAGGCGACCAGAACTGAACACAGTATTCCAATGTCATCTAACCAGGGTTTTACAGAGCTGCAGCATAACCTCTCAGCTCTTAAACTCAATTCCCCTGCCAATGAAAGCCAACACACTATATGCCTTCTTTACAACCCTATCAACTTGGGTAGCAACTTTGAGGGATCTATGGACGTGGACCCCAAGATCCCTCTGTTACTCCACACTGCCAAGAATCCTGCAATTAACCCTGTATTCTGCATTCAAATTCGACCTTCCGAAATAAATCACTTCACACTTTTCTGGGTTGAATTCCATCTGCCACTTCTTTGCTCAGCTCTGCATCCTGTCATTGTCCCATTGCAACCTACAACAGCCCTCCACACTATCCACAACTCAACCAACCTTCGTGTAATCGGCAAACTTACTAACCCACCCTTCCACTTTCTCATCCAAGTCATTTATAAAGATCACAAAGAGCAGAGGTCCCAGAACAGATCCCTGCGGAACTCCACTGGTTACTGAGCTCCAGGCTGAATACTTTCCATCTATTACCACCCTCTGTCTTCTTTTGTACAGCCAGTTTTGTATCCAGACAGCCAAATTTCTCTGAATCCCATACCATCTTACTTTACTATTTTTTTGAGGTGGGGGGGGCGCACATGGAACACGAATGCCAGCTCAAACCTAGTTGGACTGAGTGACCTCTTTCTGTGCCAACAAATTCTGTGAATAAGTAAACTTTTACAATGAGGACTAGTGGATATTTAATGCAGTATGTCATTAACGAGAGTAACAATGGCTAAATAATAAATTGAACAGGGGAGCAAGACCACTGCCACATCATCCTCTCATTAATTCTGTGGAGGAGGAGATTTGATCGCTCCATTCAGGAGTTTGAATAGATGCTCATTTTCTCAGTTGTCAGTGGCAGGAGGGTCAGTAATCTGATGACACAGATTGCTAATAATTAGTCAAAAAAAGGACACAAGTATTTTTTTTTCTAAACAACAATCAAGCAAGCGAACTGGATAAATACTTGAAAGGGAAATTTTGTAGCTTTTGGGGAAAACAGCAGAGAGGAGAAACAACTGAGTAGCTCTTCCAAAACGCAAGCACAAATTCAATGGGCTGAATAGAATCTCTCAGCACTGGAGGAGGCCAAAAACAAAGATACAAATTACACACAATTCATTTGCACTGACACCTTCACCTCCACACTCATGCACAAATGAAACGACTTCTTCACCACCACAAACAATTCACTCCTCTCCACTTCACTCCCTCATTGTAGTCCCCACTTCCACCCCTCCCGAAACACCATTCAACATGGAGTTATTGAAGAGGCACAGTTCTTACCTGCAGCATCAGTCATTCTCTGAATTGCTGAAAAGGACAAGGAGAATGAGATTAAATCATCTTCAAATAATTCATTGTATGTTTGTGCAGTTTTCAGAAAGGTTTTCAGAAAACAGAGCCTGCTTAGAAGTCTTGGAGAGCTGACTAAATATTTAAAGGGTGAGGCAGGGAATCAGACAGAGTTTAGTTGTGGACTCTGCGAGCTCTGGGTTTAGCGACGGGACAAAGGTGAGATTTCACCCCTAACACGATCTTTGATAGGACCTCCCAAACCAGAGACCACTGCCGTCTAGAAGGACAAGGGCAGCAGGTACATGAGAATACCACCCCCTGTAAATTCCCCACCAAGCCACACACCATTCTAACTTGGAAATATAATCAGCATTCTTTCAGTATCACTGGGTCTAAATCCTACAACTCCCTCCCCATTAGCTCTCTTAGATGTCTCTAAGTCCCATAGGACTACAACTCATCACTACCTTCTCAAGGGAAATTAGTGATGGGGAATAAATTTTGGCCCAACCAGTGATGTGCACATCTTAAGAATGATGAAAAGTTACTCCATGTCTTACCTAGTTTAGGGAGAGGGCGAATTTCACCTAAAAAGGAAAAGGACATCAGTTAGTCAGAAGAGCTTTATACTGCTAGCAATTGAGCAGATTTACATTGAATATGTTTTTACCATTCAGCACAAATCTGAGAAAACATTGGTTATATAACTGTGGATTCACAGGGTTGTACAACTGAAATGGCTTTAACCCATTACAGAAACATGGTGGGAAATCTCCATTCCCAAGTTGGATCCTTTAACCATTGATCCTGGTCCATTCACCTTTTATCAGAACAGATCAAAAATGATAAGAACTCTTAAAACACCTGACTTGGAGGAATTTCAAATTAAGGTTAACATTTGAGAGGACATGGGAAAGTTGTTTTCCAAAGGTCGGTAAGAGTGAGATAGTGCAGCTTGAGTCAGACAGGAGGTATCAGGGGATGTGGAGCTACAGATCAGTTGTCATCTCCGTGATTGGTACGGTAGGCTAGAAGGGCTGAATGGCCTCCTGTTCCTACACGAGTCCAGAATACAGATGGAAAGGAGGTGGGAATTAAAAAAAAGTCATAAGTTATTCAAGTGAAGAATTCTGGAGAAGTTCTTTTGCCCAGAAAGCAGTCACTTGGTAAGAATCACTGACACATGGCATGGTTGAGGTAGGAAGTGTTAATCCATTGATAGGGGGCCTTGATGTCCACATGAGAGACAGGGAAATGGTGGGGGGTTGGGGGGGAGGAGGTGTGATGGTTGCACAGCAGACTGCAAGGTGAGCAGTTTGTGTGGTGCATAAAAACCAGCGTGGACCAGGGGAGTTGAGTGGCCTGCATTGTTAATTTGTGTCAACGTGTCGTTTGTTTTAAAATTCCGGAACTGTTTCCCTTTTCTCCAGATCTTCCCAAACACACCAACTCTCTACTTGTTTCAGCTTCCATCCATTTCAATTGAAAGGCATGTTTGGTGGCCCTGGAGACAGAAATATCCTTGCTGGTGGGAGGCTATCATCACAGACCAACTGTCTTCCATAGACTCTCTACAGTGTGGAAACCGGCCATTTGGTCCAACGAGTACACACCAACTGTCCGTCAGACATTGCACCCAGACCCATCCCCCTATTCCTGTAACCCTGCATTTCCCATGGCGAACACACTTAACCAACACATCCTTGGACACTATGGGTAAGTTAGAATGGCCAATCCAACTAACTTGCACATCTTTGGACTGCGGGAGGAAACCAGAGCATCCAGTTGAAACCCATGCAGATGTGGGGAGAGTGTACAACCAGACAGTCACCCAAGGGTGGAGTCAAACCCAGGCCCTGTGAGGCAGCAGTGCTAACCACTCAGACACCGTGCCGCCCACAGGATGAGAGCATTGCTGTCTAAACCAGCGTTTACTGCCCATTCCTTAATGGCCCACAGGGCAGATAAAAAGTGTCAACCATGATGTGGTGGGTCTGGAGTCACATGTAGGCCAGATTGGGTAAGGACGGCAGTTTCCTTCCCTAAAAGGCATTAGTGAACCAGATGGGTCTTTTCCCAACAACTGATAATAGGTTCATAGTTACCACTATTTCCAGATTTTTATTGAATTCAAATTCAACTATTTGCCGTGGCAGGATTTGACCTTGGGTTCCCAGACTATTACTTGTGTCTCCTGATCGAAGTCAGTGATAAATGAATCGGTTTTAAAATCAATGGTGATTGAGGGATAAACTTTGCCCAGGACACCAGGCCAAACCACCTTGCTCTTCTTTAGCATAGCGGCCACAGGATATCATACATCCTTGAGAGAGAAGACAGGGTCTTGTTTCAAATTCTCACCCGAAACACATCACCTCACTAGTAGCCTCTTACCTAGATGTTTCCAGCGAATATCTGTACAGGAAAGAAAAAGCAACAAAATTACTCATGGTGTCGAAGTCACAGATATCTGTACTACACCGCGCTTTACAGAGTGCGCTGACTGAACACAATCAAACAGACAACTGCAGGGCAAAAACCTTTCTTCCTGTAAGATCAGAACTGTGCCCATTTATTGCGGCATCACCACCTACTGGTGCAGCAGGACAGAGCACACAAAGATCATGTGACAATAATTCGGAGTCGGTCAGCTGACATTGTCCACAAGGTGCAAAGGCAGAGCGAGCGTGTGGGAACTCAAAAAACGTTGACATCAGGTTGTTCACAGCCAAAGATGTAGTTTTTGAGGTGCAGACATTGCTGCAGGAAACAGGTTTACGTCACAGTAATCCGTGTCAATCAATATTTTGCAGGACACAGGGAAAACCTTCCAGCTCATCTCCCAAATAGCGAGACGTCTTGTGATCTTTTACATCCACCGACAGACCTCAGTTCAACATCTCAAGAGAAAGGTGTGCCCCTGACAGTGCAGAACCACCTCGGTACTGCACCAGGAGAGTTAGTTTATATTTTTACCCCTTATATTAGAGTTGGACTGGAACCTTTTGGACTCTGACTGCTACACTCGACTCATAGCTGACATCCCGCACCGAGGTGCTGCTGTGGTCCCAGGCATAGGAACAAGATCCCATGCCAAAGTCAGAAGCAGAGGTCACAGGGACGTAGAGTTAAGGGAGTGGACATTGCAAATACCAGACAGTGCTCTCTGCTGGAACAAGCTTGACCATACGTTCAGATAGTTGAACAGGCTCTATTCTGACCCCTATTGAGGGGGATTTGGGGAATTATCGATCGATTGTACTGATCACAACACAGAATGACAAACCCTCCCTTCCACATTTACTTATAATCCTTTCGACTGAGCTCTTACCCATTATTTCTCTGAGTTCCTCTGAAAAGAAAAAAAGGAAACAATTTTTAAAAAAAAACAGCAGAAACCATTTCTATCATTTGAATCACGCACTTTTGAAACGGGTTGAGGAGATTTAGGAACGTCCTGAGGATTTAAGCCTGAGGATCTCGTGAGAAGGACCCTACAGGAAAGGAGAGAGCCATCCCAATCCCCATCGCGCTTCCAGGTGACACCTCCTTCACAGTTACCAGCTCGTATCCATTTGGCCCATCACCCCCTCTGGGCGTCACTGGGTAAGCCCTCCCCAGTCCCATTGCCGCGTCTCTATTTTGATCAGCATTCGATTGGCTGTGTTTCACACAATTCTGCCCCCAGACAACCCTAACCCAAAAATACAGATGTGCATAGCGGATTGCCAAAATAAAAACAGAAATTGCTGAAGAAACTTGGCGGCATCTTTGGAGAGAAAGCAGAATTAATGTTTCGGGTCCAGTGACTCTTCTTCAGAGACCTAACCCCTCATCCTTCTGTGCAGTTCTTTCAATCTTCAACACAAAGAAAATAAAAAGACAGCAGCTAGAGTTTTAATTGAGTTAACTTGGCAAGGTGGTTTAAAAATAATAAGAGTACAATACAGGCTCCAATTCTGTCACAATTAGATTTCTGCTGGGACAGTTCCATTAAAATTAACCCACTCCCCTCCGCCAAGTGCCCCTGGGACTGGTTTGTTCTCTCTCATCATCTGCCTCACTTATTACAGGGTCAGAAAATCCACAGTGATGCTTTCAGGACATTTGGGAATGTTTACTTACCATTATAGGACTTCGTGTTGGCATAATCTAAAATACAAAAACAGCACAAGTCACTAAAAGAAAGGAATTCACTAGGAAACAAAGCCTTCTGATCCTCATTCAAGTGCCTTTGATTCCGACAAATGCCATATTTTCTGGAATGGCTCCAGTTGAACATCCTTCGCAGGCCTAACTTTTGTTAGTCCCACTGAGAAGCTCCCTCTATCTCAGTCCCAATATCGAGATATAACCCCAGGTTGAAAACACAGCATTTGACTGAGACAGCGTACAACAGCAAGGAGATGGTGTTGAACTTATGTAAGACACCAGGCCAGCCACAGCTGCGGTCCAGGACCTAGCTCTGGATACCACACTTTAGGAAGGATGTGAAAGCATTGCAAAAACTGCAGAAGTTTAAGGGAAAGGCTCTAAATGTTCTCAGTCACGAAGAGATCAAGATTAAGAGGGAGCAGGCCTAAAGTAATTTGTCAAAGTCATGAGGAAAACCGTTTTCACACAGGAATGGTCAAGGTCTGGATTGTGCTGACAGCACAGAGAAGGCAGATTTAATTCAGGCTTAGAGGGAATCAGACAATTGTCTGAAGATGAATAGTGTACAAGGGTCACAAGGAGAAGGCTGGAGAAAGGCACAGAGTCAACTGCTCCTTTGGACAGCAAGCATAAGAACAATGGGCCAAATGGCCCTTGCTGCCCTGTAAACCAATTTCCCACTCATTCCCAGGTGGTGGTGGTGGTGAGGGTCTCGGGCGGGGTGAGGAGTCAGTGACCCATTGTCCCACCTCGTCCCAGAGTGGGTGGGGATGGGAAAAGGACAGAGTCTGACCCACTGCCCTGCAAAGTCCCAGAGGCAGGAGAAAGGACATAGATGGTGCAGGGTGGGAGGTTCGAGAGGGAAGCAGCCTGGCTCTCCGAGGTTGTGAACAGCAATACTAAAATACAAGTCTTTGTTTTTTCCTCACCAAATGTTGTTGGCTGCTTCCTTAGATCTGGAAAAAAAAAAGAGCGAGAGAGAGTCATCAATATTGGTGAGTGCGGATTATCAATGGCCTGACAGATATTCGGCATCAAGATATCACTGACAAACTCCCCCAGTCACCCCCTCAAACCTCAGGCTGCACAAGGACGTGGAGGCTGATTTGGTGTAGAGGAAGTAAAAGGGAGACAGAGTTGATTATCTGGGGTGGGGATGGTTGGGACAAGAGAGTACATATGGGTTGAGGGGCATGGCATGTAGAAAAAACACAGAGGGGTAAATGGAGGGGAGATTACTTAAACGTTCTCTTCGAACTTAATCAGACCTTCCCTTTTGTTTTCTTTCACAAGTGTATAGGCCTTTCTGCAGCATCACTGCCCTGGAAAAAGGCGATGGTATGCTGTCCTGCTGAACCACCGCAGTCCTTGGGGTCTGGGGACATCCACAGTGCTGTTAAAGAGGGAGGTCCCAGATTTTGACCCAGCAACACTGAATGAATGGCGACACATTTCCAAGTCAGGTCGGTGAGCGGCTTGGAGGGGGTCTTGCGGATGGTGACGTTCCTAAGCATGTGCTGCCCTTGCCATTCACTGTGGGGTTTGGGTTGGAGGGCGGGTACAACCTGTGGTTTTGGGACGTCGTCACACAACCTAACCATGTTTGAATCAAAAAGCAATTGCCAATTGCGTCCCCGTGGCACAACGAAAATTTCGTACTTCGGATCTGTCTCTTTTGTTTCCTGAAGAACAGAAAGAGGCCAACGACATGACCAAGGATGCCAAAGAAAATCAAGAGGAACATATAAAGCCAAACGGATGTCTTGGGGTGGAATTCATCTGGAGAATAAAAAAAGCAGAATGAAATTATTGCTAAAATAATAAATCATCAAAGTCAGGCACTCTAACCCTGAACTTGTCTTTTATCTTACCCTCCGAATCCATCACCCCTTGAGTAAACGGGCTAGTCAGAGCAATGAGTGGCCCTCAGTGTTGGTTCTCGACCCACAGTGAGTTTCTGCATTTATATACTACCTGTTATATAGTAAAGCAGCCCAGCATGCTTCAGAGCAGAACAGCCACCAAGTAATGTAAGGAGATAATAGATCTGATGTCCAAAAGCTTGCTCAGACACGAAGGTTTTGAGAAACATCTTAAGTTAAGAAAAAGGAATGTTGGGCAGAGGGCTAGAAATATTTAGAGAGGGCCTGGACCACAAGCAACTGAAGACACAGTCACAGATGGCAGTGTGATGAAAATCGAAGGTAGCACAAGGGGACAGAATTAAAGTAGAGCAGAAGGTTAGAAAAGGTGGAAAGGTTCAAAGCACACAGAGGTCATGCAGGCTGGAGGAAGGTCACAGTAGGGCATGGGGCCTTTGATGTGGCCATTGATGGGGCCCATCAAGTTGATCACAACCCAGGCGACGAGTCACTGGAGAAGAATATAGTCACTAAGTATTGCAGATGTGGTGGCTGGATTGGAGGGGCAGAAAAGGACATGGAGGAATTGAAGAACTTGAAGTTAGAGGGAGCTGGGAACGCAGCCCTATCCATCATGAAAACCAGCCTTCCTTCCACTGACTCCGTCTACACTTCCCGCTGTCACACAAAAGCGGCCAAAATCAAAGACCTCTACTACCCCGTTATACTCTCTTCCACCGGGCAGAACATACAAAGTTTGAAAATACATACTAACAGATTCAAGAACAGCTTCTTCCCCGTTGTAATTAGACTTATAAACAATTCTCTCACGTTAGAGCTGATCTTTTTATGCACCTTCTTTGTAGCTGTAACACTATAATCTGCATTCTGTTCCATTACCCTGATGTACTTACGTAAGGTACGATTTGTCTGGTTAGCACAAAACAATACTTTTCACTGTACCTCGGTACTGTGTGACAATAATAAATTAAATCAATGTTCACAGCAGCTAGGGACTGAGAAAAATGGTAGTTGCATCACCCCATTCCTTTGATCTAAAGGATGGCAAATGTTCTTTAGATCAGCAGGTCACAATGGGATGTTGGCTGGAGGTGACACCAACAACGGTACATGGCATACACACAGGCACATAGAGACACAAAGCTCACTAACCTGGGACATAGAACTCTGCACAGACTGTCTTGTTCAGCATCTCGCTTTTTAGCAAACAGTTAAAGGTGTTCCCAGAATCACTGGTCACATCGATGTAGCTCTTCACGTTGACTGAGCTTGGCTCCTCCGTTACCGGCTGTCCCTTCTGAGTCTGGATAACACCTTTCTCGTTGCTCCATTGCACCATCGGTGGAGGAAACCAGTTCTCGGACTCACACAGGAGCTGGATTCCATTCCCCGTGTACTTGTTCAAGTTGATCAAAGGCCATTCTCCAAATCCTGCCAATGCAATTAGGGTCAGTTCTTTTTAAGAAAAAAAACACAACCGGGTTACAGGAGGGAGGATCTCAAAGGCAGCCAGCCCTACTCCGTAGATAGCACCCTCCCTCTGAGTCAGAAGTCCATGGGTTCAAATCCCACCCCATGATTTGTTACAATGGCGCTGGGTATTGGTGAGACCAGTCTATTGTGTTCAATTTTGGTTCCGTACTTGAAGGTGAATATACTTGCATTGGATGTAGGTCAGGGAAAGGTGCAGGATTGGTTCGTGAGGAGAGGTTGAGCAGGCTGGGTCTGTATTTTTTGCAGTTGACCAATATGATTGGCGACCTCCACTCTTAAATAGAAAAGATGTCCCTGCAACACTGTCGCTATCAAATACTTCCGGGACAGTGACAGCATGGGGTGAATATCGTGGGGAAAAAAACTCCCTCTTACTTTTTAAACCTCAAAGTAAAGTTCTCTTGACACTGTCCTCACCAAACACTCCTGGGACAGGGACAACAAGGGATTAAAATACAGAATAAAACTCCTGCAAAGATGTGCAGGTTAGGTGAATTGGCCATGCTAAATTGGCCCATGGTATCCAGGAATGTGCAGGCTAGGTAGATTAGCCATGGGAAATGCAGGTTTACAAGGATTGGGAGGGATCTGGGTGGGGTTCTCTTCAGAGGGTCAGTGTGGACTCGATAGAATGAATGACCTGCTTCCACGCTGTAGGGATTTTATGACAGAAACAGGCCACTCATCCAACAGCTCCATGCTAGCACTTACACCCCACACCAGCCTCCTCCTGCCATCAGCAAAAGTAGAGGGAATATTGTTTGAGAGAGTTAATCATCCAAGCACATGGGATCTTGGAGTTCATAAACAGAGGCATCAAGTACAAAAACTGGCAATTTGTGTTGAACCTGTGTAGAGCTCCTGACTCTCCAAAGTCTGTCCACCATCTACAAATCAAGGGAGAGTGATGGAATACTCACCATTTGCTTGGATGAGCGCAAGCCTCTTACAATGTTAATAGCATCCAAGACAAAGCAGCCCAATTATTTGGCACCCCATCCATCAACTTCAAAAATCACTCCCTCCCCCACTCACGCACAGGAGCAGCAACGCATACCATCTCCAAGATGCGCTGCAGTAACTTATGGCTCTTCCAACAGCACCTTCCCAAGCCATGATCTCGATGTCCTGGAAGGGCAGGGGCAGCAGACGAATGGGAACACCACCACCTGCAAGCTCCCTGCCAAGACACACCATCCTGACTTGGAAATATACCACCACATCTTGACTGTCACTGGGTCAAATTCCTGAAGTTTCCCCCCTGACATCAATGTGGGTTTCGCTACACCCAAAGGCCTTCCCTGGTTCAGGAAGGCAGCTCACCAACCACCTTCTCCTGGGGGATGGCTTGCCCAACCACTGATCCTGTGAAACAATAGAAACTCAGAAATTAGGGGCAGGAGTAAGCCCTTTGAGCCTGCTCCATCATTCAATATGATCATGGCTAATCATCCAACTCAGTCCCCTGTTCCTGCTTTTCTCCTCCCATACCCTTAGGTTCCTTTAGCCCCAAGAACTATATCTAAATCCTTCTTGAAAACACCCAATGTTTTGGCCTCAACCGCTTTCTGTAATAGAGAATTCCACTGGTTCAGCACCCTTTGAGTGAGGAAATTTCTCCTCATTCAGTGTTAAAAAGCTTACCCTTACCTTTAAACTGTGACCCCCAGTTCTGAACTCCCTGGTTATCGGGAACATTCTTCCTGTGTTAACCCTGGCTATTCCTGTCAGAATTTTACCAGCTGGATTAGAAGCAAATGCCAGGAAAGGTACTTACTTGCTACACTCAGGATGGCCTCTGCATCTCTGAACCCATGAGCTTCTAATTCCACAAAACACTTGTACTTCCCATTGTCCGGCAATGTGACTTGCATGAGTTTCAGGGAGACGTTGCCATTCTGGAATTCACTGGCAAACAGCTGGGTCCTATCCTTGTAACTAGCGTGTTGCCCCGCGTTCTCATCCTGCCCAAATCTGTAGAGATGTACCAGTGCATTGTCCTTGCTCCAGCGGATCTCCAAACCTTTGAGGGGCAATCTGGGGATCAGCTGACATTCCAACACTGCCGTAGCACCAACCTCGACCACAAGTGGGTATTGGGAGCAGGAGATTCGGAAGTCATCTGGGAAAGAAAGGATGCTTCAGTGAATGTGGAGAGAAAGGAGGGACGAGTTGGAGGAAAAACCCTCAGTGGAGGAGCTTCTTCAGGAATTTCACGGGGACACAGTCAAGGCATTTTCAAGAAATAAAGTATACAATATTGATTTACAAACCGATGCATGTGACTTTCAAGGGAAGTTTACCACAATAGTAAGGAATGATGGTCTTCATTTGAGCAGAAATACTGGAGCAGCTAAGATCTAGATCTGTACAGTAGAGAAGACAAAAGGGGAGATACAATGGAGATATCAAATGCTTTGAGAGAGTCAATAAGGAGAAACTGTATCCACTAGCAGAGCGAGACTCCAACTCACAACAGCTTCAGGTTGAAGAGAACTGACAAATAACCGAGAGACAATTTAGGAACAGGAGTAGGCCATGAAACCATAGCGTCTGCTCTGCCATTTAACACAATAGCTGATCGAACATTTCATTCCCCACTCTTTACACCATCAGTAATCAGCAATCTATCAATCTCAACCTTAAACATATTCAAAGACTGAGCTCCCACAGCCCTCAGTGGTAAAAGATTCCAGAGATTCACCACCCTTCAAGTTAAAAAAATATTCTCCTCACTTCCATCCCAAAAGCATAAATCTTACTTTATTTATAAAACAGTGCCACCTGGTTCTAGACTTCCCAACTAGGGCAAACATCTTACCTACATGAAGGTTGCCTATCCCTTTAAGTGTTTGAGAGATTTCAACCGCGCCGAATTTAAACCTCTAAAGAATTTCCTTTAAACAAAAAGACATGTGGGTTGTTGTGACCTGGAATGCACTGTTACTGACTCCAGTCCTCTCCTTAACAACATTCAGAGATTTAAGACAGCCTACTTCTGAACTGTGTGTCAAATTGAACCTCAGACTTGAACTTCTGGCACCATATTAATACCTTTGACAAGATCAGCAATTCCTACTTCTGTAACACTGCTCAATTTCACCCTCAAATCAATTTGTCCACTGCTGAAACCCTCCTCCATTTGCTTTTCAACCCAAGTTCTTTCACACACTTGTCTCTTCCATAAATTTGTGGCTATCTGAAGCTCTGGTGCCTGCGTCTGACCCTCACACCATGTTCTGCTCCCATCACCCCACTGTGTTCGATGACCTACATTGAGTGACTCCGGGTAAAGTAACACCTAGATCTCAAAAAACTCATTTGTGCTTTTGAATTCCTCCACATCTCCTACAACCCTCCAAAGATCACTGCATTCATCTAATTCTGACTTCTTGTGCACTCCCAATGAGAATTGCTCCACCACTGGTGCCTGTACCTTCTGTTACCTCAGCCCGAAGCTGTGGAATTCTTTAAAAAAAATCATCTCTGCTTGGGCTACGTTGCTTTCCTCTGTTAAAACGCACTTTCGTACTGACCTCTTTAATCAAGTTTTTGGTCATCTGACCTAATGTCCCTATGTAGCTTGGTGCCATTTTGCAATTTATAATACTCCTACAAAGCACTTTGGGGTTTAATACGTTAAAGATATAATAAAAGCTAGCCTCATCAGCAACGTCAACAATTTACCATAAGACTGAAAGAGCTCTTGCTGTGGAAGCAGACTTGCTAAAAGAGTCAGAAGGGGATTGGATAAAGAGAGGATTTTAAAAGTTACACTGATGCAAAGCAAAGTATTTTCAGGGCTGTGCAGAAAGAGCCAGGGTGAGGGAAAGCTTGGGCTAAATGTTACGACAAAGGAACAGATAGAAGAGAATGTAATGGTTTTAACTTTCACCGATGCCCAGTGAAGTAAGCTGCAACACCTCGACAAGTTGATCAAGGGATCAAATGCGATCATTGGTCAGAAAGTTACACAGAATCCTCCTGGCACAAAAGGAGAATCTGCTGCCAGATTCTGTGGCTGTGCTTACATAATTATCAAAGACTCTCTGGAACTTTTAACTCAATTCCCCAATCATGACCCTCCAGCACGGATCGACACAGAACGAGGTGTCGGGGTAGTTCAGCCGTGAGGTCTCTCACCTGCCAACGTTGAGTAGTTCCAGAGGAGGAAAATCAGGAGCAGGCCCTGGAGCCCTTTCCATCCGAACATTCTCTGCATATCTCCAAAGTCTGGCTGTGCAGGCCCTGAAATACAAGCAACTTTGTTAGGGTCTAAAACAACATTCCCACTTCTCCAATTCATTGACTTATTTAAAACTATACAGCAGCGAAACATGCTATTCAGCCCAATAAGTCTGTACCGCATAAAAGCCTCCTCCCATTCTGTTTTATCTCTCCCTATTCCGTTCTCCCTCATGCATTTAACCACATTCACCTTAATGCACATTATTCACATTACAAGCTGAGGAAGCAAGTTCCACATTCTCACTGGGTAAAAGAGGTTCCTCACGAATTCCAGACCAAATTTATCAAAGACTGTTCGTACATTGTTAGAATGCCAGCATTTCTAAACACTTGTTGACAGTAAGTTAGCATCGTTCTGGAGAAGATGGAGGTGAGCTGTGTCCTTGAACCACTGTAGTCCTTGCAGAATGCACACAGAGCTGTGAGGAAGGAAGAGCCAGGATTTTGACACAGCAACACCGTCAGGGACGACAAATCAGGACGGTGAGTGGCTTTAAGGGGAATTTGCAGGTGGAAGTGTTCCATCTGCTACCCTTGACTTTCTACCATAGATGATAGAGGACACACATTTGGAAGCTGCTGTCATCTCCTTTGTGACAATTGGAAATCAGACACTCCATTCACTTTCTTTTCATGAGGTGAGTTCATGCTCACACCATCCAGTCCTCGGTTTTTGACTGTTGCCCTCAGCAATTCTCAGGGACCGAATTAATCTGTACTTGGAGAAACAGGGAGCTAGATTCAGCCATAAGAGGAAGCATTCCTTTCACATTTATCCTGCTAACAGCCTTCAAATTTTAGAAGTCACCCCTTAATCTAAACTCCAATGGATACAAATTGTGTCCAACATTTCCTCATTAAATGACATGTCATTCCAGGTATTAGTTGAGCAAACCTTCTCTGAATTGCTTCCACATCTACATCCTTCCTTAAAAAAGATGGCCAGTATTGTGCACAGTACGTTAGATGCAGCCTCCTCATGGTTTTGTATAACTTAAGCATAATTTCACTGCCTTGGTGTTTAGTTCCCCTCACAATAAAATGATAACATTCTATAAACTTCCTTAATTACATACTGTACCTGATTAGTGAATGTTTGTGATTCATGCACTAGGATTACCAGATCCCTCTGTATCTTACAGGTCTGCACTGTCTCATCAATTAGAGCACTTTTAAAAAAAAAACTCTTCCTGCTCAAATGGACAATTTCATATTTTCTCACATTCTACTCCATTCACCACAAAGGGCCAGCAGGAGGTTGTTATACACATTGGAACTAACAACTAAGGAAGAGAAAAGGAAAAAATTCTGAGAAGAGAATGTAGGAAGTTGGGTAGGAATTTAAAACGTAGGTCCTCAAGGGTAATAATGTCTGGATTACTCACAGTGCCACAAGCTAGTGAGAATAGGAACAGGAGGATAGAGCAGACGAATGTATGGCTTCAGGGGAGAAGAATTCACATTTTTGAATCATTGGAATATCTTCTGGGGTAGAAGTGACCTATATAAGAAGGACGGATTGCACCCAAATTGGAAGGTGACTAATAGACTGGCGGGGAGATTTGCTAGAGGTGCTCGGGAGGATTTAAACTAGCAAGGCGGTGGGGGGGAGGGTGGATGGAATCGCAGGGAAATAGTTAGGAAAGAGATCAGTCTGAGACTGGTACAATGGAAAAGGAGTAAGTCAAACAGACAGGGCAAGCAGGAACAAAGTAGAGAATGAGATGGGGCTGATGACTTAAACTGTTTTTATTTTCCAGGGATAGATGCCATAGGATGGATCAAAACAGGAGAGAGAGAGGAGGGGGAGTGGCATTTCTGATTAGGTATAGTATTACAGCTGTACTTAGGGAGGATGTTCCTGGGAAGTTGTTTGGGTGGAACAGAGAAATAAGAAAGGAATGATCACCTTACTGGAATTGTACGAAAGGCCCCAGAATAATCAGTGGGAAATTGAGAAACAAATTTGTAAGGAGATTTCAGTTATCTGTAAGAATAATAGGATGGTTATGGTAGGGGATTTTAACTTTCCAAACATAGACTGGGATTACCATAGTGTTAAGGATTTGGATGGAGAGTAATTTGTTAAGCCTATACAAGAAAATTTTCTGATTCAGTATATGAATGTACCTGTTCGAGTAGGTGCAAAACTTGAACTACTCTTGGGAAATAAGGCAGGGCAGGTGACGGAGGTGTCAGTTGGGGATCACTTTGGGGCCACTGATCATATTTCTATTACTTTTAAAATTAATGATGGAAAATGATAGACTGGATCTAAAAGTTGAACTTCTAAATTGAAGGCCAATTTTGACGGTATTAGGCAAGAACTTTCAAAAGTTGATTGGGGGCAATGTTCGCAGGTAAAGGGATGGCTGGAAAATGGGAAGCCTCCAAAAAAACAGAGATAGTGACAGTCCAGAGACAGTACGCCCCGGTTAGGGTGAAGGGAAAGGCTGGTAGGTGTAGGGAATGCTGGATAACTAAAGAAATTGAGGTTTTAGTTTAGAATAAGAAGAAAGCATATGTCAGGTATAGACAGCAGAGATCAGATCATTCCCTAGAAGAGTACAAAGGCACTAGGAGAAAACTTAAGAAGGAAATCAGGAGGGCAAAAAGGGCACATGAGATAGCTTTGGCAAATAGGGCTAAGGAAAATCCAAAGGGATTCTGCAAATATATTATGGACAAAAGGGTAACTAGGGAGAGAATAGGGCCCCTTAAAGATCAGCACCTGGACTGTAGGTTCATAGTTCCTTGAAAGTGGAGTTGCAGGTCGATAGGATAATGAAGAAGGTGTTTGGTATACTTGCCTTTATTGGTCAGTGCATTGAATATAGGTTGTACAGGGCATCGGTTAGGCCACTATTGGAAGACTGCATGCAGTTCTGGTCTCCCTGCTATAGGAAGGATGTTGTGACACTTGAAAGGGTTCAGAAAAGATTTACAAGGATGTTGCCAGGGTTGGAGGGTTTGAGCTATAGGGAGAGGCTGAATACACTGGGGCTATTTTCCCTGGAGCATCAGAGGCTGAGGGGTGACCTTATGGAGGTTTATAAAATCATAAGGGGCATTGATAGGGTAAATAGACAAGGTCTTTTCTCTGGGGTGGGGGAGTCCAAAACTAGAGGGCACAGGTTTAAGGTAAGAGGGTAAAGATTTAAAAGGGACCTCAGGGGCAACTTTTTCATGCAGAGGGTGGTGCATGTAATGGAATGAGCTGCCAGTGCAAGTGGAGGCTGGTATAATTATAACATTTAAAAACATCTCGATGGGTATATGAATTGGAAGGGTTTTGAGGAATATGGGCCAAATGCTGGCAAATGGGACGAGATTTATTTCGGATATCTAGTCAGCATTGAACGAGTTAGACCAAAGGGTCTGTTTCTGTGCTGTATATCTCTAGGATTTTATGTTTGTACACTCACAACCTCTTGTGTCCTCTACGCAACTTACTTTCTGACTAGCTTTGTGTTGTCAGCAAATTTAACACCATACATCCATCCTTCATTTAAGTCATTTGTTTTAATTGCAGTCCCGGTACAGATCCCTGTTGGATACCACTCGTTACATCCAACCAACCCGAAAAGTTTTCCGGGAGCTTCTGTTTTTGTTTGGAGCAGAGAGTGAGAGAATGAGAAATGTCATTCCTGGCTATAACGTTGGGTGGGAAACAGAAAAGTGGTAACTCCAGGGTTAGAATGAGTCAGTGGAAGATACCAAAAACTGCAGATGCCGGAGTCAGAGTCAATACAGTGTGGAGCTGGAGGAATGGAGTTCTGGAGAAGGGACCCGACCCGAAACGACGACTCTCCTGTTCCTCTGATTGCGGCCTGACCTACTGTGTTCCTCCAGCTCCGCATTGTATTGACTTTCAGGGTTAGAATGTATCCATTTGGAAAACTGACACATTCCTATCTAGAGATAGTAGGAACTGCAGATGCTGGAGAATCCGAGACAACAAGGTGCAGGGCTGGATGAACACAGCAGGCCAAACAGCATCTGCTCCTATGATGCTGCTTGGCCTGCTGTGTTCATACATTCCTATCTAGTTTCACCAACAACGATGTTCGCTAAACACCCTGAACCAAACATGATCCACCCAAGGACCACACTAGCCGTTATCATTATAGGAGTATGAAAAAAAAACGACTGAATGGTGTACAAACCCGAAACGGCCGTGCGAACGAAATCTCTGGCAGGAGTGGCTCCTGCATTTCAACATCTTCAAAAAACAAGTTTCAAACTTACCCCAATTTTTTTTCCGGACTAAAACATCTTCGCTCTTTTTTAAGAAACTGCGTTCCACCGCTTTCAAGCCTTCGATTGAAGTCCAGAACAACGCCCGAACTGAAGGCAACTTTCACTTTCATTCTTAAAGTCTCTTCCATGTCGGCCAAATCTCGCTGCTGTTGTCTCCTCCCAGCAGCAGTTGGCACTTTGGAAACAGTTCTGGTGTGGGGTGGATCCAGAGTCAAAGAGGAGGGTGTGAAGGTTAGAGACTGAGCTTTGAACGTTTCCCGGTTCAGAGTCTGAGCTTATTACCGAGAGAATGATCCCTTCCTCTGCAATCCAGTAAAAATTAGAGTGGTGGCTTTCTGGGAATGACCTTATTAGAATGGGTTAATTGGAATGGTCATGTATAGATAGGTCTTATGAGAATTACCATCATTTTGATGTTATAGTGACATTATAGCAGTGGCTATATGAGAATGGTTTTCTCGGAGTCACATTATTGGTGTGACCTTGTTTTAAGAATGACCTTAAACGAATGTGTGTAATAATGGTGACTTATAGGATGGTTTTTTTTAGGTCGTCTTATAGAATGGGCTTATAGAAGTGGCTTTAAATGAGTGACATTACAGGGGTAGACAATAAAGTCACCATAGTCCTGCTCTGTCATTGGAGAGACAGAGAGAGAAACAACTAGTGGTGGTTTAACCTGAGGGTCGCCACACCTCAGGCAAGGTCAAAAAAGAAAGTCCTTCGTGGTAACTTTAGCCAATGCAGGAATTGAACCTATTCTGTTGTTTTCACTCTGCATTGCAGACTAAGATAACTAACCCCCAAGAGAACATGTTGTCCACAGGAATTACCTTATGGGAGAGAATTTATATGCATGGGATTATAGGAGAGACCTCATACAAATGACCTTATAGGAGTGGGCTTCTAGGAAAATATCAGTGTTGTATGAAGGAGTGATAGTGATTGGTTGTAGGAGTGAGTGATCTTACATCTAACTCTTATGTTCTTACTTTGTTTAAGGCCCTAGAATGTGTGTGTTGCTGGCTTGGCCAGCATTTATTGCCCATCACCAATTACCCTGGAGAGGGTAATGAACTGCCGTCTTGGTATGCAGCAGTCCATGGGGTTTAGTTTAGGGGACAGCCATAGTGCCGTTAGGGAGGGAGTTCCAGCATCTAGTAACAGTGAAGGATACATTTACTAGGAAAGACCCGATAAGGATTTTCTAGCTTTGAGTCCAATTTTATTAGTCGTGTTGAAATCATACCACGAGACTAGGTCACAATGTACATGATGTTATGGAAATACCCACTAAAGCTGGATTAACTATTTCAGGGTTTTTACAGAATCAGCTCAGTCAGGTGCAGCTGACCCATTGGGCACTGATCACTGAAAGCATTCAGAATTGTCGTTCGCTTCTTTTCATTGGCTGCTGGGTTTACTCAATGATACACTGAAGTCCAGAGACAATCTGAGTTCAGAGTAAACTGTTGGATGGACACGCCATCCATTCCTTCTCTGAGATTTTCAGCTCAAACCTACACTTTCATTGAGATCCCTCACTTCCAACGTGTAACACTTCCCTCCATCTCAGACTCAGCTCATCTGATGCTGAAATCTTTATCCACGCCTTTAATTCCAGATGTGACCAATCCCTGGCTGTCCTCATTGACTTCCTGCATTCTATCAGTTTCACCTCATCCAAATTTCTTCTGCCCTGTCCTAAGTTACACCAAACACTGTTCACCTATCACACAACAATGACTGTCAAATTCTCATCCTTGTTTTCAAATCTCCCAATTTCCATAACATCTTCCATGCCAACTACCTTCGCCTCTTGAGCATCGTTGATTTTGATTACTCCACCATAGTGACAAAGTTCAGTTTTCTTTGGGGATGTAAGAAGCTGGATAAGTGAGAACTAACAGTTCAAAGGCTTTGACAAGGTGCCACCAAAAAGGTGACTACATGAAATGAGGAGATAGTTTCCTAATCAACCTGTTCAGAGACAATATCCAGACTTGAAACATTAGTTTGCTTTCTTCCCATGGATGCTGCCTGACCCATCGTGATCTCCAGCATTTTTTTTTGTTTTCAGTACGGATTCCAGCATTGGCCGTCATTTGCTTCTACTTTATTCCAGCGACATGGATCAGGTGGGACTTAAACCCAGGCCTCCTGCCTCAGAGATAGGGATACTCAGACAGTGACTCAAAAGCCTGTACATAAAATGAGAGTGGATTAAAAAAATTTTTTATGTGGCTTGTGCCGAGTTTTTTTTTGATAAAGAATACAGGAGGCCTTCCATTGCTACAGTATCTTTCACAAACACCCGACACTTGAAAGTTCTTGCCAGCCAATGAAGTGTTATTGATGTGTACTCACCGTTGCAATTTAGAAGACACAACAGCCAATCTGTGCACACCAGCCTCCCTCAAACAGCAATATGATAACGACAAGATCATCTGTTTTGTATGATCTTCAATATTGATAGGATGCTAGGGAGAACTCTCCTGCAAAATAGTACTGTGAGATATTTATACTCACCTGAACAGGCAGATGTGGGGAGATAGTAGGAACTGCAGATGCTGGAGAATCCGAGACAACAAGGTACAGAGCTGGATGAACACAGCAGGCCAAGCAGCATCATAGGAGCAGAAAGGCTGACGTTTCAGGCCTAGACCCTTCATCAGAAAAGGGGGAGGGGAAGAGGGTTCTGAAATAAATAGGGAGAGAGTGGGAGGCGGATAGAAGATGGATAGAGGAGAGGATAGGTGGAGAGGAAACAAGCAGGTCGAAGAGGCGGGGATGGAGCGAGTAAAGGTGAGTGTAGTGGGGAGTTAGGGAGGGGATAGGTCAGTCCAGGGAGGACAGACAGGTCAAGGGGGCGGGATGAGGCTGGTAGGTAGGAGATGGGGGTGCGGCTTGAGGTGGGAGGAGGGGATAGGTGGGAGCAAGAACAGGTTAGGGAGGCGGGGACGAGCTGGACTGGTTTTGGAATGCGGTAGGGGGAGGGGAGATTTTGAAGCTTGTGAAATCCCCATTGATACCACTGGGCTGCAGGGTTCCCAAGCGGAATATGAGTTGCTGTTCCTGCAACCTTCGGGTGGCATCGTTGTGGCACTGCAGGAGGCCCAGGATGGACATGTCGTCTGAGGAATGGGAGGGGGAGTTGAAATGGTTCGCGACTGGGAGGTGCAGTTGTTTATTGCGAACCGAGCGTAGGTGTTCTGCAAAGTGGTCCCCGAGCCTCTGCTTGGTTTCCCCGATGTAGAGGAGGCCACAACGGGTACAGCGGATGCAGTATACCACATTGGCAGATGTGCAGGTGAACATCTGCTTGATGTGGAAAGTCTTGTTGGGGCCTGGGATGGGGGTGAGGGAGGAGGTATGGGGGCAGGTGCAGCACTTCCTGCGGTTGCAGGGAAAAGTGCTGGGTGTGGTGGGGCTGGAGGGGAGTGTGGAGCGGACAAGGGAGTCACGGAAAGAGTGGTCCCTCCGGAAAGCAGATAAGCGTGGGGAGGGAAAGATGTCTTTGGTGGTGGGGTCGGATTGCAGATGGCGGACGTGTCGGAGGATGATGCATTGGATCCGGAGGTTGGTGGGATGGTATGTGAGGACTCCGGAGGTTGGTGACGATGTAGAGGTCAGTGCGCCATACTACAACTGCGCCTCCCTTGTCCACGGGTTTTATGGTGAGGTTGGGATTGGAGCGGAGGGAGCTGAGGGCTGCACGTTCTGCGGGGGAGAGGTTGGAGTGGGTGAGAGGGATGGAGAGGTTGAGGCAATTGATGTCTCGACAGCAGTTGGAGATGAAGAGGTCGCTTCACCCACAGCCTCCACAGCCAGAAGCTCCAGAGGGGACAATAGCACCCAGCCCTGCCGAGTCTTCACCATCCCCCCAGACCTACCCCTTACTGAGGACGAACGGTCAGTCCTCAGTAAAGGGCTCACCTTTGTCCCCCTCCACCCACAGATCAACGAATACCGCTCACGCTTGGACATAGAGCAGTTTTTCCACCGCCTCCGCCTCCACGCTTACTTCTTCAACCGCGAGCCTACCCCTCCCTCTACTGACCCCTTCTCCCGCCTCCAACACACCCCATCCTCCTGGACACCACCCCAAGGCCTCCTACCCTCCCTTGACCTCTTCATCTCCAACTGCCGTCGAGACATCAATCGCCTCAACCTCTCCACCCCTCTCACCCACTCCAACCTCTCCCCCGCAGAACATGCAGCCCTGCACTCCCTCCACTCCAATCCCAACATCACCAGAAAACCCGCGGACAAGGGAGGCGCAGTTGTAGTATGGCGCACTGACCTCTACATCGCCGAGGCCAGGCGCCAACTGTCCGACACCTCCTCCTACCGCCCCCTTGATCATGACCCCATCCCCGAGCACCAAACCATCATCTCCCAAACCATCCACAACCTCATCACCTCAGGTGACCTCCCACCCACGGCCTCCAACCTCATCGTTCCCCAACCCCGCACCGCCTGCTTCTATCTCCTACCCAAAATCCACAAACCTGAATGCCCTGGTCGACCCATTGTCTCCGCCTGCTCCTGCCCCACCGAACTGATCTCCAACTATCTGGACTCCATTTTCTCCCCCTTGGTCCAGGAACTCCCTACCTATGTCCATGACACCACCCACGCCTTCCACCTCCTCCAGAACTTCCAATTCCCCGGTCCCCAACACCTCATCTTTACCATGGACATCCAGTCCCTCTACACCTGCATTCCCCATACAGATGGCCTAAAGGCCCTCAGCTTCTTCCTGTCCCGCAGGCCCGACCAGTCCCCCTCCACTGACACCCTCATCCGCTTAGCCAAACTCGTCCTCACCCTCAACAACTTCTCTTTCAATTCCTCCCACTTCCTACAGACAAAGGGTGTGGCCATGGGTACCCGTATGGGCCCAAGCTATGCCTGCCTCTTTGTAGGTTACGTGGAACAATCTCTCTTCCGCACCTACACTGGCCCTAAACCCCATCTCTTCCTCCGTTACATTGATGACTGTATCGGCGCCGCCTCGTGCTCCCACGAGGAGCTTGAACAGTTCATCCACTTCACTAACACCTTCCACCCCAACCTTAAGTTTACCTGGACCATCTCTAATACCTCTCTCTCCTTCCTGGACCTCTCTGTCTCCATATCGGGCAACCACCTAGAAACCCATAT